GAGCGCTGCCTGTCTGCAGGGTCCCGCTGAAACGCTTCCCTCGCCCGCAGAGCTCTTTCCGCCTCCGCCTGCCGACGCCATTCGTCTCTGTGGACAACGTCAAATTGTCCCATTTCCGGGGGGGGGGGGTGAGAAGGGGACACCGAGAGCAGGAGTGAGGTGAGAAAAAACCTGGTGCGATGGGAAACGGTGCGTGTGGAACGTGGATCATCGCCACAAGAAGCAGCTAGCGGAGGGAAGATGTCTGACCTGAGTGAGCGAGCGCCAACGGGAAGAACAAGAGAATGCCTTCTGCAGAGGTGAGTTGGGCTTGGGAAACGCTAGGTTGGCCTCCGGTGGTGAGCGCCGGGGGACCAAAACCCAACCTGTTGGCCCCAGCTATAATAACTTTCGACAACATCGAGACAAGAAAGACAGCCAAAACAACAACAATCAACAACGAAAACCACATGCAAAACAACACCAACAGCAACGATAGCAACAACAACAACACCAAGAAGGCAACTAACCTCCAGACGGCCTCGACGACAATGGGGTGGACCCCGATGTGCTGCGCCAATCGTTCGAAAGCGTCGTCGTCCAACTCGGGTTCTTCCACCACAGCGTCCAGAGGGGCGCCGGGCATACCGTCTGCTGAGCGCGCGTTTTAGCCGTTGACGTACGGTGGGCGGTGTGGGAGCGGTGGCCGTGAAAAAGAGGGTCGCGAGACAATCGATCATGCAAAAGGATCGCGATAACGTTGTTTGGGGGGCGATCGTGACAAAAACAAAAACGGTGAAACCATCAAAAAGACAAGGAGAGAAAGGTCGCTTTGCGATAGACCAAGTATTGAAGGGACCGTGGGGGAGGGGGGAGGGCAAGTCGGTGACTACAGCAGTAGCAGATGCCATAACAGTGACAGTCAACGCCAAAACAGCCTCGTGATTGGCTGTTCTACGGCTGGGGGAGAATGATGGCGAGGTTCGGCATCAACACAAGAGTCATCAAAACGAGCAGATTGCTTGCAAGTAAAACCCCTTGCCGTTCTGGGGGAGAGTATTTGTGAGGCGCGGCAGCAAGACAAGAGTTATCAACACGAGCAGACACAGCAGTAGAGTACAAGTAAAACCCCTTGCCGCTGATACAACAACGACACCGCACCGTATACAAGTAGCCCCCCCCCCTTAACCCTTACCGTTCCAAGAGTCGGACCGTTCCCCTATCCCGGTGCCTGAGAATCGCTTCCGAAGGGCCGACCTCAAGCCGCCCGTGGGGGAGGCCATGGCGCCGCCGCCGCCCATGTACCCGCCGTGGGGGGGCGGGGACCCCCACATCCCGGTGGAAGACGTCATGAAGCTCCTCGGCGGAGAGGCCAGCGTCGACGACGTCACGAAGCCGTTGGGCGGCGAGCCCATCATCACGCCGCCTCCTCCTCCGCCGCCGCCGCCGCCGCCGCCGCCTGCGGACGGGGGGGGTGCCAGGAAGCTGTTCGGCGGGGACGCCGAGAACCCCAAGGTGTTGCTGGAAGTCGACGGCGTCATGTTGCCGGTGGAAGAGGGCGCCACGTTGCTGCCCAGCGGGGGCGCGGGGACTTTCTCGGGGCCCAGCACGGACACGAAAGGAGACCCCTTTTTGTTTCTTCTGGGGGGGGGGGGGGTACGCGGTTGGGAAGAGGTATTCATGTTGTGACCAACGCGAGTCTGATGACGTTTGGCCGGGCCTTGCACTCGGCCGGGGAAAAAGAGCAGGCTGGGCTTCGGCTTCGTCGACCAAGCTCAGGTAGGACCAATAGCGCCCAGAGAGGGTGTGTGTGCTCATCTGATGCTCGGCTTAGCAAATCTTACCTCTTACTGGTACCAAATAAACTCCGCATTTTGGGGGGCTTCCTACTTTCCGCTAACCCTCATACGAGACCACAACACGGTCCCTCTTCGACCCCCCTCTCTTCCCTTGCCATGAACCACCTCGAGAATCGGTGAATCACACACGGAATCACGGAATCCCCAGGTTCACACGTGGACTTGTACCGTGTACACTTGGCAAGAGCTCCAAACACTGGAACAAATAAGTGCCTGGTTAGAACTGTAAAACATGCAGGTACGTAAAAACAAATACATCTTGCAGGCAGTCAAAAAGCCCTACGGACGACAGCGAAAAAACACGTGCCCGCGACAAAAAACAACTCGATAAAACAACGAATGGAGATGCTACATACGCTACACGCCTTCGACATAGTGATACCGATAGCTGCCAAAAAAAATTGAAATACACGACAAACCTGCGTCCTCTAGAACTGACGGCATGAAACTTTGCGACGTTGGACAGGATGGAGGTGAGGGAGAGTACCCTCTCGGCGTACTCGTCCCTCTGGTGGATATATTCCGTCGGCAGACACCACGAGTCGGAGGGATGGAAAAAAAAAAAGGCAACGATAGGGTCGATCAGATCAATTTGAAAAACTTCAGGTCACGTTCGGGGACGGTCCGAGGAACGGTCCGAGGTTAAAGAGTCGGGTTCCGCA